CTCTTCGAGGTTGACCCTTGGCTTTGACTATGTATAGAAGGCGACTGAGGGGTGAGTAGGCAGGATGTTGAGTCATCCTTCTCTTTCCAGATGTCGACTGACGATTGGAAGGGAAGTCATTCAAGTACAGGGGGAAAATGTCTTCTCATCATCTTGGATTTAACAGATGAGACAGGACGGAGGATAGGCCGACTGCTTGGTCGTCCTTCCTTCTCCAGGTGGCGGCTGGCGATTGGAAGGGAAGTCATTCGAATACAGAAAAGTATCATAGCGATCTCTAGGAAGTGACTCGTGAGCAGAATAAGTGGCTCACGCACGAGATCTGTCAGAGTGGAGATCTTGATGGGACTGATCAATACTGTAGTGTTGATCGATATCTGAAGGGAGCTTAGCTGGATCTTATCCCCTAAGTAGAGGTGTGTTGATCTGTGAGTTATCATTATGATTTACCGATCTGATAGTCGAGTGAGCTTCTGGCCGAGTGGATGGTCGAGATGCCTGCTCGAGGAGTCGTCTTGATTAAGAGGGACCGACTGATCTCGTACTTCGATTCGGTAATGATGACTCTTGGTCAAAAGATAACTCGGCTGCTCGGCTGTCCGATAGACTTACTCTTAGCTGGGCTTTTGGACCGCTAAGCTAGTTCGGACCATAGTTCTTTTGAGTCTATGAAGATAATCTCTCGATATCTTTATCTTTAGATGGTAAATTACCATAACAGTTGGCCCCTTTTATTTGGAACCGACTTTAGTCGGGTCCGAGTAAAATAGATATAGGCTTCTGATTAGTATCAATTTGCCCAAGATGTCGAGGATTTTTAGCCAGTTGATTGTGGCTCGAGACGTGGTGTAGAACTTGTTAACCGTCAACCTCCTGAGAACTAATGTAACTGGTGTTTGGAACTAATTTTTTATAGGAAACGAGGTGTCGTGGGTGGAGCGAATGGCGCTTCACTTGCCAATTGATTGGCAGGAGTTACGAACGGTGGTTGGCATTTCGAGCGATTCGTTTCCGATTCTCAAAGCGAATCTTCCTTGATCGTCTCAAGATTGTGCATCTCGAGCTCTGCATGCTTCTTTGGAGGCTTATAAATAATCCCTGACACTGTTGAAAGAATATTCTACTTTAGGAATACATCTTCTTGTCGATTCCTCCTTTCTCTTTAGAGGTTTTTGTCATGGCTTTTCTTCAGAACGATCGTGAGAAGAAAATTAGGGTTTTATATCTGTTTCGGTCGAGAATGACAATAGACGAGGCAGCATGGTTGCACGATGAGTATGATGTTCCTCGCGTAATGACCATAGGGGCACCGAACAGCCTTACTCCGGTGCATATGCATGGCGATGATCGGGTGCCTCTCTATCTGGCACATCTGCAATGCGGATTGCGCCTGCCACTGCATCCTTTCGTTAGGGAGGTGTTTGCTGCTTGGATTGCGCCTGCCACTGCATCCTTTCGTTAGGGAGGTGTTTGCTGCTTTGGGGGTTTCCCCTGTCAATTCCATCCGTATGTCATTTGTACCTTGATAGCGTTTATAGATGCTTGCTCTGAGGCGAGAGTGGTGTACAGCATCAGTTTGCTTGGGCACGTGGTTATTGTGGGGTCTGCTGAGGGAGACCTGCACTATTTTTTCCACTATCGGGGCGATTTCCGTTTGGACGCCGACTTCCCAGAGCTGAACGAAGAATGGAAGAAGTTCTTTATCTGGGTGTTCGGCACTGATAATATACTGTCCTGCTTAGATTAGCCCAAAGTGGAGGAGAATGTATTGGAGCCGATGGCTCTTAGTGATCTCGAGGCTGGAGATCTAGAGAAGCTCCGGTATCGCATCGGCCTTTAGGAGTCCCAAGCTTTGGACGGAGAAGAATTCTCAGAGGCGGGAGGGTCCCCCTCAGTTTTCACCGACTCCGAAGCGACAACCCTTCCTCCACCAATAGAGGTATGTAAAAGAAGGGCTGACTCGGAGGGGTCGAGCTCTATCAGGAGGTCTTTCAAGAGGAGGGGAGACTCTGAGACTAATGGAAAGAATTCGGATTCGTCAGCCTATGTATAGATCGAGACGAAGCATGATACCGCCATCTTAAAAATCATGTTGCTGGATCCGGCTCAGCTCTTGATCCTTAGGAATGAGCTTTAAGGATAGTTGTCGCTCTCTTCCCCCCCCCCCCCCCCTTCTTGATCCTTAGGAATGAGCTTTAAGGATAGTTGTCGCTCTCTTCCCCCCCCCCCTACCCTTTCTCTTTTTTTGTAAGCCCTGTTGGACCTTTTGATAACAATGTAAGAAACATTTTTGAATGAGAAACAATTTCTCCTGTCCTTCGCTTTTGAGAGCTGAAACTATTTGATGAAACAGTTGATCATATTTATAGTTATAACACAGCTTTCTTTTCAAGAATAATGTTGGTCTTTGTAGATCCAATGATACCCATGGGGTAATTATCGATGTCTTCGTTTCTCTTGTTCTGGCCGGAAAGAAATTTATAAAGGTTGGCCTTGGGGCTTTGCCATTGGCTTATCTAGGTAGGGAACCATGGATTTGATTGTTGATTTGAAGAGCCTTTGCACCTTAGGCTTATCCTGACGAGGAGTCAGGAGCTTTGTGCCGACTGAGAAGTCGTTGTGCCTTGGATTTATCTTTAGGAAGAGCCAAGGGCTTTAGAACCGACTGAGGAGTCGTTGTGCTTTGGACTTATCTTTAGGAAGAGCCAAGGGCTTTGGAACCGACTGAGGATTCGTCATGCCCTGGGCTTATCCTGAGGCGGCGCCAAGAGCTTTATGCCGACTGAGAAGTCGTTGTGCCTTGGACTTTTCTTTAGGAAGAGCCAAGGGCTTTGTGCCGATTAAGGAGTCATTATACCTTGAGCTTATCCTGATGAGGAGCCAAGGGCTTGGCCATGATGGTCGATGAGAACAGACGGAATCGAACCATATATTATGCCTTGGGCTTACCTTTAAGAAGAGCCAAGGGTTTTGTGCCGACTGAGGAGTCTTTTTGCCTTGGGCTTATCCTGATGAGGAGCCAAGGTCTTGGCCATAATGGTCGATGGGAGCAGACGGAATCGAACCATATGTTATGCCTTGGGCTTACCTTTAAGAAGAGCTAAGGGCTTTGTGTCGACTGAAGAGTCGGTGTGCCTTGGGCTTATCCTGATGAGGAGCCAAGGGCCTGGCCATGATGGTCGATGAGAGTAGACAGAATCGAACCATATGTTATGCCTTGGGCTTACCTTTAAGAAGAGCCAAGGGCTTTGTGCCAACTGAGGAATCATTGTGTCTTGGGCTTATCCTGATAAGGAGCAAAGGGCTTTGGGGCCGACTGAGGAGTCGTTGTATCTTGGACTTATTTTTAGGAAGAACTAAGGGCTTTGGAACCGACTGAGGAGTCGTTGTGCCTAGAGCTCTTGAGAGTTGACTAGGCCTTTGTGTTTTCTTAAAAAACTTTTATTGATTGTTTGAAATTTATACATAATAGAGTACGGCTCATCCACACTTATTGCTCGAATGGCGTCGAATTCTTATTTCTTGCTCAGATGCATTTTGGAGATGGCTTCCTGCTGGGGATAAGGTCACCGAGACGGAGCTTCCTGGGTTGTTTCGTATTGTCTTTGAATAGACTTGTTTTGATAAGAGCGAGTTGTTGCTTCATTGGCTATCTTTGTTGCCAAACTGAGGAATATCTAGAATCGGATGTTGCTCTTCCTCTCGAGTGTGAGCTGTTTGGCTTTAGACATTGTTGAGTGGTCGACATATTTGCCGTCTCATTAGCCAAGGACCTTTATGAACTTTGGTCTTTGCTGAGGTCCTTACAGGTCGACGGTGGACGTGGTGATTTTCAACAGATCTTTCTTCACCACTGTTGGTTGTGTTAGACCCTAGAGGGGGGGTGATTAGGGTCTTATGCTAATCTAATCCGATTTTATGCTAATTGAAACTTATTAACAAGTTATCCTAGTAAGTATGAAATACAACAATGTATATGAGCTAGGATAAGCAATATGAACAACAAGTATATCCTAACAAAGAGATATAGGCAATGTATGTGCAAGGATATATAAACTTAAGGGTAAACAATCTAAACTAGATAGTGGGCAATATAATCAACAAGCAATATACAAAGGCGATATAAGATATGAACATAAAAGTAAGTGCGCCAATGCAATCACAAACAAACAATATGATTACGGAGTTCGGTCCCCACGACCTACGTCTCCGCTCCTCACCTCGAGGAGATCTCCACTATCACAACCGGGTTT